AAATACAATGAATGCGAAATGGACAGTGGCCCATTCATATTTTTTTTTTATGCTTCACTTCATCAGACTTTTATAGTATTGTGGCAAAGCTGCTTTTAGGCTCTGCTACAGTCTTTAATGTATCGACATTAAAAAAATGCTGATTCCAACATAAAAATCATTAGGCTTGTGCGAATAGTGAATTTGAGGTTTGAAGCGAGTAGAAATTTTGGTCTAATAATTTCGAATCGAGTTCGCATACAATATATGATGTACAAAGAAAAAGGGGTATATGTATTATGACCTAACTAACTTGCACAATATTTTTGTAAAATTGAAATAAGGCCTCTATGCAACTGCTTTCTTTTTTTTTTGCCATTCAAAGGAAGTCGAAACAACTTTGATAAGTAGTGGGATTTGACTTTCAGCAGGATGCAAGTGATAACCTATGTGTATTAGTCAGCAAAACAACCTTTTAAGCTTAGAAAAATTATCAATCGATTTGTGGATCACATGTTCATTTAAAGGGTTTCTCAACAGCTTTTCAAGTAGCCATGGAATGTATTCACTAAAGAAGCTTATTGCCTAACAAGTTAACCGCCGCCAAAACTTTAAGAATCTGTACAGTATGAGTGGAGGTTTGCGATTTTCCACATGCTGTGAATGCATTCTCTCTTCTTATCCCGACGGAAGCGCTTGAAGCAGAGCCGGGAGAGATGGCATGGAAAAAGAAACTATGTGACGTGCGCGTCGTGACCCTGAGCAGTCTTTCTCTTTTCTTTTTTTTTTTTGTATATGCGGTTTTTCAGTGTGATCGCGCATGCACGCGTGAACAAGTCGCGGCCACCCGTGAACAAGTCGCGGCCACCCGTGGCGCCCCAGTAATGACCGAGCGCCCCATTCTCAAATCTGCCAATGGCTGGTACAATGGCTGTGAGGAGCGATTTTTGGCATTGTGGCGTCATTTGTCGAGAGAAGAGAGCAGTTTTTATCTGATTTTGAGAATTTATCGTGAATCCTAAGTCGGGCGGGGGGGGGGGGGGCATGCTGCGCTATAATGCTTAGCTCACGTGTCCTCTGTAGGCTCGGCTACTGATCGACAGCGTTTGCTGACCATGCTTAAATGTGTTGCACAGCCCCTTTGAATTTAAAGGGAAGCTTTGTGGCAGAGTAAATTTATTCTGTACAGGTGCTTTCACGGCTTAGCATCGATATACTGCAGAAAAGTTACCCTACAGGCAGTTACATGGGGATTGATACAGGCTGTTCGTTCCTATCGAATACTTCGAAATATTCAATAATTTAAATTCGAATGAAGTAAATTTGAATATTCGCTCAAGCCTGGAAATCATACGGCATTTCGTACCCTGAAATTTGGGCAGGAACTATGAAAAACCAGATAGACAAGATTTTTAGGATCCTCAATTTCAGATATTCTTCTAGGCATATTTGTAACTTCAACTCGAAAAGAGCACACCCTTGTCTGCCCCATCAATAGGGCTTCCACAGAACTTGAAAGATGAGGAGAGGCTGTAGAAATAAATATTTGTCTTTCACATGTAAAGTGTGTCAGCAACACTTTGGTTGCACCAAATCATCTACTGTGAACCTTTAAGACGAACTCTGTTAAGACGAATTATAGCTTATAGCTTAAGATGAACAACACGGGAGTGTTTGTTTGGTTTCCCTTAGACTCAATGCAAAAAATCTGCTAAGACGAACCGCGTAACAGGCCTCTTCTGTTAAGACGAACTCTCGTAGCGACTGACATCGACGGATTCTGTGCATAGCAAACATTATAGTCTTGATGGGGGCATTCAAGCGAACAAGAGAAAGCAAAATGGGGGTAAACAATGGGAGAATTTCCTGGCACTAAGGGTTAAAGCATATTGAAAGCTAATTGCGACGTGGACTGAGAAAGCAAAATAAGTGAAAAAAAAAAGGTCAGCACATGAAGCTGATATCTTCCTCACCCGTAGCCTGTTGGTGGAGAAAGGGCCGACTTTATCAACAAAGAATGCAACAAAAAGCATTCATCTTTTCGTACTCTCCTCGCGTTCTTCAGTTCCCAAACAGGAGTACAGTAGAGGACAGAACTACACAAGAGCTTGTCTAGACTGGAAAACGCTGGGGAAGGGGGGTGAACACAAGCCAAATGAAAGTGAAAGCGTGAACGAAGATTATCTGTCTTGAAACTTTTTGAGCAAGCACCCAGGCACACAAAAAGGAAGACGTGGGCGCACGTTTGTCTTCCTTTCTGTGTCCCTGTGTGCTTGCACAAAAAGTTTCAAAATGGATATGCTCCAACTAGGCCGAAATCGCATTTTTGCTGTAGATAATCCGTACATTTTAATCACATGAACGGAAAACCACATAGTATGTGGCACTATCACTCCTATCAGTGGAGGTCAGATGCATTAAGGTCATCCCACAATGATGCTGAGCACATGTTCTGGTCAGTTTTTGTTGTTTTGCATAAATTCCGTGCGCATCGCATGTGTTTCCAGTGAAGTTCAGCAAATTGTGATGCACCATTTCCTATGAAAGAGCCTGCCAAAGGAAGATCATTTTGCACACTTAATGTAGCTGCGATGTGTCTTGTTTGCGTGCCCCAGGCCCTGTGATCGTGAGTAGTGTAAACGGAGGTCTTCAGCTGCTTGTCGTTTAAGAAAAGTTACTGCAGGCTGAAAATAAGAAGATATTCTAACCTCAAAAAAAAAAAAAAAAGCTTGCCGACTTTCATAAGCAAGTTGGAATTTATTGGCTTTCTCAAGGTAGCGGTATGCAATGGAGGCATATCCAAAAGTGATAGCAAAACCAGTAAAACAGCCTCTCAAAAGGTAAACAGCCAGAAAAATTAATTTTCCATTCTTTGAAAGAAAATTATGCTTGTCTCTGTATTTTTATCTTTTTCTTATTGTGAAAACAGGGTCATGCTACATTTTTAACGTTAAATTGTGGTAGCAATTTATTAATGAGCATATTTATTATGAACTGGTGAAATCGAGTACTCCTGAATTAGCCTAAATACTCCAGTTGAAAGCATATTGTTTATCAAGTTGAGCCAAATAAATGCTTTTTCTGGTTCCTTTTCTCGCCATTGTAAGTTTGTAAGTTCATTTTTCGTTCAACGTTTTGAAGCAACATATTAGGCATGCTTAACATGCCAGCATTAGGTTTTGGGAGGGGGGGTGGGGGACTTCTGATAAGACGAACTCCTGATAAGACGAACAAATGATCGTGGTTCCTTAAAGTTCGTCTTAAGGGAGGTCTACTGTACATCAATACAATTAAGTTTCTTCACTGCATCATTCCTGATAAGACAAACACCATCCCACGAATGCTTCATCAATTTAGCCCAAAGATACATATTCATGGTCGCTATCTCATAGGAGTATGCTCAGGAATCCTCTCCCAATTTTTTATTGCAGTTTTGCTTCAAGTATCGAAAATATTCTAGAATCATTTAAGAAATATTAGAAAAATAATCTATTCGATCTGCAGTGAAGGTTCAGTATTCGAATTCGCTTCGGACACAAAATTTTCATTTCACACAGCTGTACTTGTAACCTAGCGTCTTGTGACATGCATGCAGAAAACAAACATAGTATTTATTCTGCTTTTGTACATTATTGTCAGGTCACCCCTTTTTTTTTTCCTTCAAAGCCCCCGACCCTCCTAATTGATTCTGTCCGGCTCCCGCCCTGTCGGCTTTATGCAACTCGGCTTGGCCATAACACAGACCTCCACCCAAAAGGTTGCCGACCCTGATTTATGGCATTCTGACAGCGACACTGGCAGTACTCGTATCTTAATAAGCCACTTGTTGCATATACTAAACAAATCACCTTGCCGCGGTGGTCTAATGGCTAAGGTGCTTGGCTACTGACTCACAGGTCACGGTATCAAATCCTGGCGCGGCGGCTGCAATTTCGATGCAGGCAGAAATGCTGTAGGCCCGTGTTGCTCAGATTTGGGAGCAGGTTAAAGAACCCCCAGGTGGTCAGAATTTCCGAAGCCCTTCACTACGGTGTCTCTCATAATTCGTATGGTGGTTTTTGGATGTAAAAACCACATATCAATCAATAAACCTAAAACAAATGCAAACGCAGAGGAGCTATTAACCAACTAGATAAGAACTAGGTCGTGTTGGTGATGGTTGTGATGTCTGCAACAGGCGGGGTTAGCTTGGCCTAAATGGCCAGCAATTGTTTCGCCTGAACATTTTTAAAAATTATTTGGGTCTATCAGCAAATGTCCCTCAGCCCAGTGTATCACAGGAAAGCCATCAGGATCCGATTGCACACTCCTCCTCGTCGCTGTTGGCCCTTCAGAAAAAATTACACCTTCAAATGACCACTACTTGTGATGATCTTTCCGCCAGCTTGTGTACCATCTCTGTTATTTCACTGTCAAACTGCGGGCACAGCCAAATAAATGTTCGGTGTTGCCGATGTCACCATAAGTGGCACAAAACGGGGAAGTGCCTCACCCAGTCTTCAAAACCAATCACTTGACATAATTCGTAACAAGGTGTTAAAAACAGCTCATAATGTTCAGATGTGTATAGGTAACAAAAGAAAATCGCCTCGTGGTGGCTTGAAACAAAAAAAATGAAGAAAAAGAAATAACAAATATTTCTTGTTTCAATCTTCAAACATTGACTGCAAATCTATGCTTAAAAGGCAAGGTTATTTCCACTATAGTAACTTTTCAAATTATTGACCTAAAGCTTAAACTGCTAAGATTTGTTCTTTCACTGTGTATTGCTGATATGATGGTATCATTTTGATTCACTTCATGGTTTTGTTTGAATTGTGGCTTTATGAATGTATCTTATGTTGGTATATATTTAAATTGTTTACAAATGTACAAGTTTTTGTAAATTTTTCAGCAGCTGTTAGCACAGAATGTCTACATAATTCCGGTTTATGTATGCATCCTCAGCAGTATAACTTAGAAATGAAGTAACGTCACTGATTGATTACACAAGTGCTTAGGCGAAGCTTATCTTCCTGTAGTTGCTGAAGGACAAGAGGCTGGCATGGATCCTGCCGTAGCGTTCGAGAGCATTTCGTGCATTGCAGACTTTTTGGGTGCAATGGCTGGAAATATTAGATGCTTGCAAAGCGGTCCTGGAGACAACAAGACCTGGATGCGTGCTTTCAAGTTGCTGGAGGTGAGAGCGTACAGCTGCATTTTGCTCTCATTGCTCAAATTTTTTTGTGGCAGTATAGATGGGCGGACAGTTTCCAAATCTGAAAAAACCAAATGATCGTGTAAAAATACAAGGCGACATGTCCTGTTTCGTAACTCATAGCGTCGCTCGTCACTGTCCTAGTCATTTTCACGTTTATAGGGTTTGGCCTTCTCATAAGTGCAAAAAATTCAGGCGACAGTGACAAATGATGCTATGAGCACAAAACAGGACATTGTGTGGACCTGTCACCTGGTCATTCTGGTGTAATCGCTCGTCACATTTATGTAACGTTGTTTCCAAGGAAGGCTCCCAAGACACAGCCAGCTCTAAAGTGTTGTAACTATACGTGAGTCCCCCAGAAATGAACCTTCGATTGTCAGCCTAGTCAGATAGGAGCTCCCCCTGGCAGCCAATGTTCCACCTTCTAAAATATGCACGAGTTGTGTTTGCTTCATGAGCATTGTTAGCACAAACCTTAAGGGAACCATGAACCATCCCTTAGGCTTGGTGAAAAGGCACATTTTTCAGAAAGCAGACACTACCATGCACTACAGCTAAGCCAAATCTTGGAGTCGGCATGGCCAAACAATTTAGAAGCAGCGCGTGAAGTTGCTATTTTCTCAGGCACTTTCTCTTTGTACAAGAGCTTCAAGTATACTGATTGGAGGAGTAGCCCCTCACAGATTGTGACGCGCACCACACACACACACATAAACACACGCATGCACGCCACAGACCTCAGAGATTATTTCAGGCCTTAATTAATGTGCCAATTCAATCAAGCAGAACCAAAAATGGCATTCTGGAAATTATTTTTCAAAAATAACTGGGATGTAAATTAGTAAAGAGCTGCGAGCTCAACACAAATAACATTGTTCACTGAACTGAGGACCTCTGGCATAGCAATGATATATGGTTTCATGCCAACTTGCCGGAAAAAAAGTAGGTGAAATATCTGTGTTTTTTATATACACGAGACCTCTAATGCACTACTAACGATTCAAATTCGGCTGGCAACGTAAAAAACAAGGTGAACTTCCACAAATTTACGAGCATTTATGCCTTTAAGCTCACGCTCCTGTCATGCATGTTCTCCTGAGGCAGCACACAGACGAGGCTCAGTCAAATGCCGACTGGCCTATGCAGCCAGCAGCAAGTTTATTCAATAATTATAAGAATGATAAAGGCGCCATTCTGTGGCGCTATGTGAAACTGCTTAGGCTGATGGCAGCAACATAACATTCCTTCCCTCTTTCACAAAAAGAAGCACAAGAAGTGAAAGAACAAAAAAAGAACAAGAACAACAAGTGCTACAATGGGCAAGCAGAGAGTTCAGCTTGACTACTGGGGGCACATAATGCATAACAGGTTTCCGCACTCGCGAGCTGCGGCGAAGTGGAGTCTGAGGAAGGGCCTCTGGCTTCGGGCATCTACCGGTGCACTGGCACAACCACTCAGATCGTGGTGACACATGCGTCCTCGAATTCCCAAGATGATACCCCCGTAGTGGCAGTGGCACCAGTGTTCTCTGTTGGTGGTAGGACGTGGCCAGCACCCGCAGCATCCAGAGGCACAGCTGCTTGCACGCTTGTAGCATCCGGAGGGTCTGTGTGGGAGCGGCCAGAGTACTCTGACAGCTCAAGCTGCCACGGCACCACTCACACATGATCATGGTGCCGTGTCCATTGGTGGCCATCTGGTAGTCTTAACACTGCTGCATACCTTTTGTCCGCCTTTACCGTTGCCAGTACCCAGGCAGGACCTGGACGAAAATTACGAGCGAAAACAGTCGTTTCTGGTGGTGTGGCTACGACTCCTGCCGATTCTCTGTTGACCCAGAGACTTTGAGAGATCTGTTGAGACATCACCGTGGTCCGTAAGTCAGGCCGTAGTAAATCCAATGCCGTTTTCAACTTCCGGCCCATGAGAAGTTCAGTGGGACTACAAACCTGTTACTTCATGCGGAGTGATCCGGTATGTGAGCGAAATTCTCGCTATCTGTATGTGCAAATCATCCTCTGGCTGCGCTTTCTTCAGCTTCTGTTTAATGGTCTGTACTGCACGCTCCACTGCTCCATTGGAGGCTGGGTGATAAGGTGGTTACAAGAATTTGTCGGATGCCGTTTTTACGCAAGATCTGTATTTTCATCACCAACGCTGGATCATTGTCGGATATGACTACATCAGGGAGTCCATGAGTAGCGAACATTTTTCGCAGGCAACTAGTAGTGGCTGCAGTGATGGGCTGGATACGGGGAACACTTTTATCCACTTCGAGTATGTGTCAACCGCTGTGAACAAGTAAGCGTTCCTTAGTGGTCCAGCATAGTCTACATGAATCCGGGACCACGGTCTCTCCGGGAATGGCCATGACTTGATTGGCACCTGTCTCGGTAATCGCTGATTTTCATGGCAGGTGCGGCATGCCTGCACAGCTGTTGTGACATCATCATCTATGGCTGGCCACCAAACATGGCTACGGGCCACTGCTTTCATTTTCGCCACTCCTGGATGCCCTTCATGTAGCAGTCGCAACACGTCAACCTGCATTAGACCCAAGCACAACCACCCTGCTTCCTAGCAGAATGCAATCACTATGCACATTCATTTTATGAAGGCGAGTGGCGTATTCTTTCCATGGGCTTCTAGGAAAACTCCCCTACCAGCCCAAAGAGCTTGTGAAGACGTGACAGCAGCTGGTCTTTGCTCGTAGCGGCTGCAATAGCTTGCGCTAACAGCACTCTGGGGTTAAGACCCTTGGAGCATAACAATCTCCGGCGGGTTCTCAATTTGAAAATCAGCTGTGGAAGCGGAAGTCGGCTCAGGGCATCGACGTGTGGAATGTGATCACCAGGTCTCTTCTTCAACACATAATCACAGCCTGAGAAGAGGGCCCAGCAGAGTAATCGAGGTGAGCAAGACTCTGGGATCGGCTTATTTGCCACCAGAAGCCCCAAAAGTGGCTTGTGATTGGCTGTTATTTCGAATCGCCGTCCCCAAAGGTACTGCTTGAAACGTTGCTACTCCGAACACAACTGCTAAGGCTTCTTTATTGAGCTGGCTGTAGTTTCGTTCAGCTGTGGCCAAGCTTCTGGATGCGAAAGCGATTGGCCGCTCTTCTCCCCATGCTTCCCGCTGGGCTGGAACTGCGCCAAGACCATATGGCGACGCATCAGTTACAAGCACTGTAGTTTTCTTTTGGTCAGAGTGCGCCAATGTCTTCGCAGATGCCGAGAGCTGCTTACTTTCATGGAAGGCTTCCTCCTGAAGTGGTGCCTAGGTCCATGGTGTACCTGGTACCAATAGACCATTCAGTGGATTAAGTACCGCTGGCAAGCGAGGGATGAACTTCCAGTAGAAGTTGATCAACCCCATAAAACTTTGCAGAGTTTTCACGTCTAGTGGCCTTGGTGCCGAGAGGATGGCTTCTACGTTCCTGGGGCTGGTATGGAGGCCTTCAGCAGTGATGACGTGTCCTAAGTACTTAACGCGGTCATTCATAAATTCGCATTTCACTAGCTTCAGGCGCAAGCCGGCATCTGGAGGCGCTCTTGAGAACTGGCTCACGTTTCTCTAGTAGTCCTCGTCAGTGTTTCCTGTCACCAGGGTATCGTCAAAGTAGACAACGACGTGAGGAAGGGCGCTCAGCAAGTTGTCCAATTCCCACTGGAACAACGCGGGCACTGAAACGACACCAAACGGAAGCCTCGTAAATTGAAACAAGCCTTTCACTGTGTTGGTAGTAACTAGGTCCTGCGATCTGCGCATGAGCTTTATTTGCTGGTGACACGTCCTTCAAATCCAATTTAGTGAACTTCTTTCGGCCACACAGTTTGGCGAACAGCTCTTCGATCCTGGGAATCGGATAACATTCAGTCACCGAGACGGGGTTGATAGTGACCTTAAAATCACCACACACGCGTAGTCTACCTTCTTGCTTCACCACTGGAACTACTGGCGCGACCCACTTGGACGTCTTCATAGAGCGTAGGATGCCTTCGTGCTGTAATCGCTGCAACTCTTCGACATACCTGTCAACAAGTGCGAACCGCACTGGTCGCGCCTTGAAGACTTTTGGTCTGGCTCCTTCTTGCAGTGATATCGTGGCCAAAACTCCCTTCATTGTACCAAGGTTTTCTGAAAAAACATCGCTGAATTGTCCGACCAGGCCTTCAACTGTGCTGATTGTTTTCACGTCAAACGGCTCAAGATGGTAATACCGAACTCTTCCATCCAGTCCCTTCCGAAAAGTGTCGAGCACGCTCCTCTCACAACTAATAACGGGAAAGTTGCCTCCTGCGTGCCCACATTTACTGTGGCTGACATTTTCCCCATACTGCCGACAGCTCTCCAGAATAGCTTTTGAGCCGCCCGTCGATATGCTCCAACGGCTCTCCTGGGAACAGAGCATTTCACGTCGCTTATTATCGAAACACTGGCACCGGTGTCAAGTTCTATCACTAGCAGCACGTTATTGACACGAGCTTCAATTTTCATGGGTTCAGGTTCGGTGGCACGAAGAGACAACAAGGTGTATTTTTCACCATGTCTCGGCTCTGTTTCGGGGAGGTCGTTCATGTTGTGCATGGAGCGGAAGCCTGTCCCATTCCTTCCATTATTCGCAGCTGTCTGCGAATAACGGTGAGGTGGCCCTTCTGACCGCACTTGAAGCAGGTAGCGTCGCGGTGTCAGCAGCGCGTCGTCTGATGTCTGCTACTGTACCGGGATGACCCCCAAGGTGGTCTAGTGGCTAAGGTACTCGGCTGCTGACCCGCAGGTCGCGGGTTCAAATCCCGGCTGCGGCGGCTGCATTTCCGATGGAGGCGGAAATGTAGGCCCGTGTGCTGAGATTTCGGTGCACGTTAAAGAACCCCAGGTGGTCGAAGTTTTCGGAGCCTCCACTACGGCGTCTCTCATAATCATATAGTGGTTTTGGGACGTTAAACCCCACATATCAATCAATCACTGTACCGG